TTATATATTAAAAACGAATTTGAAATCGAAATCGGAATTCGAATTCCGATTTCGAATTGTGAATTCGAAATCGGAAATTCCGATTTGAAAAACTCCATTACCGAATTCGAACCAAATTCGAAATATATGAATTCGGAAAATCCGAATTCGATTCCGATTTCCGATTTACCGATTTCGAAAATTCCGAATTCAATTCGAATTCGGTCGGTAAATCGAAATTTTTCGATTTTGCACACCCCTAGTCACGATGGCATTTCGTGTAAATACAAAAGGTGTCAAGCGGTGGAGAATTATAGATGACGTGTATTTTTCACTCCAATGTTGAGATAATCATTTAACTTAAGAATGGAGCCATCATTTTAGTAAGCAAGGGTATAAAAGAATGTTTAAAAGATGGCAAAAGTGTTTTAATACAACATATCATTGTAGAGATTTGTGAGTATGACGAGTCTTGTCCAAAAAAACATAGAGGGAAATATAGGCAAAATCCTTTAATACAAGATTTTATTAAGAATAGAGTGAAAAACAGTTGCAAATTAATTCAAGGAAAGCACTTGAACATAACTATTAATGAAAATTTTTCCATTTATATCAAATCCTAAGAGCATATAAAAACAAAGAATCATGTGATAGGAGAACACACTTTATTGTTAGTATCTCATATCCCAAGCTCCAATTTCAGTGCCCAAAGCATTCCCAAGGCAAAATAATCTAGGCCAAAACCACCAAGAGCAACCCAAACTGCATTGGTTCCTAGAAATGGAATCTAAGTTCTATCTCCACTACAGATGGTTCCAAATCCAAAAAACAAAAAAAAGGAAAAAAAGACGGAAAAACCCGAATGCATCTTAATATCCTATTGTGTAGCAGACATAATAACATTCCCCTTATTCATCCCTTTTCCAGCCTTTTCTCTAATATCTGCAAACCATAACAAGCAGTAGAAAAATGGGAGGGGCTAGTAGTAATAATAACAAGGAAAGAGTGGAGTTTGGAAATAGACACCACTGGTATTGGTGTTGGTCTGCATTGTGGTGGAGTTGGTGGAAGTCGAATGCAGTTCTATATATATCCATCCTATGTCATATGAATCATCCAGTTTAAGTGAAAGAAGTTATAGTCATTTTATTACACCAATGGAGGTCTGTATAATTTTCTACATTTTAAGGGAAGCTGAGTGAAATTGTTTCAGTACAGGTTTTCAACTAAAAACTGCACGTTTTAGTTCTTCATTCATGGTGTTTACTGCATTGTTTTTTCTTGAAGTTGAACTATTCTTTTTAACTATATCAATAGGACAGAATGTTAGTATATTTGTTTAGTCCTAAACCTTAGGAACAACTATGGTCATCCTCCCAAAAGTTGGGGACAAAAACTGTAATTAGTCCTTCAAATTTAATATCCTTGCTTTGCCTCCCATCCATATCTATACTATGTACTATTCATCAGTTCATATGTTCTAGAACGTTTTCAATAATCTGACATGTATCATTTTTCAAGATTTTGGAATTATTTATTCTTTAGTAAGTTTGATTAATGTTAATTTAATGCTTTTCGATTAGTTTAGTTCAAATGTTTAAATTCAACATGAAATTTTTTTTAAAATGCCTGCATAATAAAATTTTTTACCTTAACGTTTTCTATTGGTCAATAAATCTTAGTAAAACTAACTTATCAATAAGCCTCTCTAAGTAAAATTTTCTACTTTAATGTTGACAAATAGCATATATTGTCATTTACGAAATATCTTTGTACATAGGATATTATAAATTTAAAAGTAGTTTAACAAACTAATAAGTATCAATGCGTAACCACTTTATACAGATGAAAGTGGTATTTTGTTTCCCACAGCCATGTATACAAATAAAGAATTTTTTTGATTGTCTTATTATAAAAGGTTGAACAATGATACAAGACTTTTAAATTATACAAAAATATTCAGTTTCACTATTGCAAAAATATTGTCTACATCTTGTCTTTCATGTAAAATCAATATCTTTTTAGATTAATTCCAACTCTACAAAGATTAATTAGTGGGAAAAGTGCTTACACATTTTAAACATTAGTATTTGCATATTTGTTTCAAAATCTCTAACTACATCTCCTTAAAATTACATTTCCTTACAAGGATTTTAGATGATTTTTTATTATACTATTTACATAATTTTTTCTAAAGTTTTAAATTGATTTTGGGCATTTTTTATTCCCTTACATTGCACAGGACATAAAGTTAATTATTCACTAGTCAAGAACTTCTAGAAGCTTTCCTTGCAAATTTGCTATAAGTTAAAATTTTTAGATTTCTCTAAAAATATAGTATATACTATATCACTTATTTCTTTAAATTACAAAAATTTTACAACATCCACTGTGGTCTCAAAGTTCAAAGAATTCTATTGAATTAGTACCACTTTAAAATTCAAAAAACAAGTAAAAGTCTATTCAAAATTTTTTATCCCAAATATTATGCTGACCACACCAAGCCTTTATCTTTACAAATTATACAAACTTCTACCAAATTCTACCAGATTTTTGACAACTTCCAAATTTAGCAAATTAACAAATAATGTTCATTAAATTACATATAGTTAAAAAGATTTTGCATAGTATTGTATAATTATAACATTGTTAAATATTTTATTTTAAAATTTGAATTATTTTTATCAATTTGTAGTACTCGTGCATAGCATGGGATATAAAGCTAGTTAGGTCCTATATTTTAGTTTTGCTTTTCATTTCTTCATTTTTTTGTTTGTTGACTAACAACCACACGATCGTCACATGGCAGATTAAGAATGCGTTAAAACCCATCAATTTTCCTAGTTTGGTTGAAAATCAAAGTACTAGGTCCTATATTTATTTTGTCCAAAAATTTCGGAACCACTATGGCCCTTCCGCCAAATGTTGAGAACAAAATTGCAATTCTCCCTTGAAATTTGTTACCCTATAAAGAATAATACACCAGCGTTGCCTCACAATATTGCACAACGTTAGGCTACAACATTCTACAATGTATCGGTCCGACCGTGACAAATGCTTTAGCAGCAAAAGTTGGCAAAAAAAAAAAAGAAAAAAGGGAAAACATCTTGGGAAATAGATTTTTAACATAACGGAGAAAAATGAAAACTAGGAGGTGTATAATGCAAGATTAATTTGAAGCTACATCTTCTGTTATAACATTTCATGTTACACTTCTGTTATACTAGCTATCTAAATGACACGTGTACCATGTAACAATAAATAATAATTCAAGTTTTAAAATATCTCTTTTCATACACTTATCACTTCCAATTGTGGTGAAACAAAAGTGTTACATTTTTTTTTTTTGTCAGCAAGATACATTTGTATAACCTACTCTATCCTAATCTAGGGGGAGGGGAGCCTAAGGAGGCTGTGGTAGGGGCTAGTGGGTATACAGATCCAACTAGACCAAGGAAGTGCTATGACACAACCCTTAGATTTTTTTCGCTGCTGGTGAGGTTTGAACTCACACCAACAACCCAAAGAAGGAATTAAGCCATTGGCCCAGTGGTTTGAAACAAAAGTGTTACATGAAAAAATGTAACCAAAGAACCCAAGTCAAAAGCAGTGGATAGTAGATAACACTCGAATCCATTTTAATGCTATTCCTCGAAAGCATGGGCTTAGAAGGTTTTGTCGCCCAATTCTTTGCAAGTCCTTTCATGCTTGTCCAAAAGCATTGATTATATATATATATAATCGAGTCGGCTTGTGAACTAATAAGTAAAGTATTTTTGAATTCGAGATCAATGTTGATCGAACTTGAGTCAAGTTTGGACTCGAGCTTCTCGCAAGCGGCTCAATTCATTTGCAGTCCTACATCTAACATCTGATTCGATTCAAACTTATTTATATGTAAAAAGGTTATACCACTATGCCTCTTGGAACTAGGGTTAACTACAATTTGCCCTCTTGAAATTAAGCAATATGCATAATGCCCTTGTTGAAGACCCATTAAATTTTAACATATAACACAGTAAACCAAAAAATAAAAAGTGAATTAATGACAAAATGGTCCATTTTCTTGCAATGTACAGGCAAAAAAAATTGCCTCTCAAGTGCTTGATGGCGAATAGAGATAATGAAAATGGAAAATGAATTGATTCAATAAGAGAAAGCAACGAAAATCTAGGACGTAACAACACCTACAAAATTTTTCACACTCTTAAAACCACAAAAGGCTGCTATTTTAAATTGTCCTTGAGGTACACAGTGTTGCCTTTTTTTCTTTTTCTTTTTTTTTTTTTCCATTCTCCGCATTTTCTATTGAGCTGCTCGTGTTGTGATAAATGTTGTAATGCTTCTCAACTTGCTGGAGATCTTTTGGTAATAGCAGAGTCTCCATTGTAAGTTTTTTTTTCCCCTTTTTTTCACAGACTTTTCGCTACTTTAAGGGAGTCAAAGAAATTGCCCATTGCAGCCGTTTGTTACAAATAATTTTGAGGGCATAAGTAAAATAGAATTTTTTTCACATAGTTTTAGGCTATTGAAAAATGCAGTTACCTTTGAATTCAATGGGATGCAATTTATATATTGTTTTAATTCAGGGGGCAAAGTGTTATCAATCCTACACAATAGAGTTGCTTGGATTTTTTTTTTAATAAATCTTACATATAATAACAATATATATAGTGTTATGATTAGATACATGATATGTATACAAAATTTGAATTTCAAACTGTTGGCCACCACCATAGCCTTTAAAGTTTGGTGGGGTGGGAGGTCTAGGGTTTAAACCTTACCTCCCACTAGTTGCCACTATATATGGCTGCCACGTTAAATGATTTAAATTCATACGGGTACATAGTGCACCCATTTGACCCAATGATGATTCAATTTCCGTGGATTCCCTTCTAATGTGTAGAAGATTCGACCCTTTCTTTTTTCCGATAAACAAATTTAGGGGACTATTATACAAGTAGCTAGACCTTAGGTACCACTTGCAACAAGGGTTGAACTCCATACCATAAATATCTCATGTAGCAACAGTGGAATTTCATGCCATAAAATATCTTATTGACACCCAACGGCCATCATGCCTTTGCGGATAAGGCTAATCCTTGAGGCAAGGAAAAGAAGAGGAGAGAAACAAATTGCATTCCACTCAGCAAAATGAACACTATTCCTAATCAACATTTTGCACAAGCCAATTCCATCCTCTTGTCTCCTCGGGCCAGCTCCAAGACTAGAGCTTCTCGAAGGAGAAATGATTTCTCACTGGTAATATATTATCTTCTTCATTTGTTACGATCAAATTCAATGTTCATTTCTTTAGCACTTCCTCTTTCCAAGGCAATACTGCATTTGCTGCATGGATTTCTTCATCCTCCAATCTTGATATATATTTCATTTGTTGTGGTATGTTATTACAATCTACATGGTTATTTTTGAAGAACGTGTTAGAAACTTTCTGTAAACATGTTTTCGAAGAATGGCTCTTTTATCAAGTTCTGTAAATAGAATTACAGAAGTGCTGAATAGTGGAGGTCCCTGCAGGTTTTACAGATTTTGGCTTCAGTTCCCCCACTTTCTCCCTCTCCACTTCTTAAATCCCACCTAAAAGAACCCAAAAAAAAAGAGTACAAATTAAGTTGTATTTGCTTGTTGGCTGCACTAATGTCGTTTTGTTTTCTTTTTTCCTGATATACAAATACTAAAAGACAACGAATAGAAGTCAAAAGGCTCCACGGGGATTGATCAAGATATCAACAGCAGATGGGAGATGGCAAAAAAATTGGAATCTAGACTACAATTTGTCACTCCAAGAGCTTCAACTTCAGGATTTAGCTGAAGATGGGCATAAAGAAAATGAGGTTTCCATCAGCCTTTGCATTCACAAGGTCCTTCACTCCTTCAATGATTCTCTTAATGTAAACCATTCCTTATTTTGCCTATGTAGACATACATGTGATATCTTGGTTTTTTTTCTGAGAATACAACTATTTTTGCTGAAAAATTAGTATTTACTATTGATTGGTAAATGACCTATGACTAGACTTTAAATTATGCAAAGAAATTTAGTAAGTGACATTGAAGATTTGGAGACACAGGGAGTAACTAATATCGAGTAATGCATAATTGAGAAGGTGATAGTAAAATCCTCAAAGAAGCAAATAATTAACGAGCCTGAAAGCTCGAGTACTTTCAAGTACTCCAGCTCATTTAGGCTCGGCCTGGTTCTCAAACCTGTGTGAGTCGAGTTCGAGTTTGAGTTCTGCCAATATGATTTTTGAGTCAAGTTCAAATTTGACATTTATTACTTGTTCGAATTCAACCTCAAGTTCGAGTAGTTAGCTATAATTCGAGCTCAAATGCGAGTATAAAGCTATTCAAATTTGATTGGACTCGAATACACCCTTTTTGTTATGGACAAGAAATTAATTCAAAACAAAATAAATTATCTCAAGAATGATATTGAAACAATGAATCACATAGCATTTTTGGATTCACATCATTCAAAATTCATTCTCGAGTCTCCGTTACAAGGTTAAATAAATTAACTAATTTTGTGGTTATTCATCATGAAAATTAAGTAAAAGTCATCACTAGCTTGATCTAAATATTCAAGAACTATAGGAAAAACTGCAGCATCATTTTTTTTCTTACGTTTTGTAATTTTTCTTATAACTGGCAACAATTAATTTGAAGAGTTAAAACTTTTGACATTTCACATCTTTTAAGCCTCTATTATTAACCATTTGACAGGGCTAATAAGTTATGATTAATTCTTGAAAGGAAATCTTGCTCTTTAGCCTTGTGCAAATTGTAGGTAGTAAAAGGTTTGTCTGGATAAAGATTTTATGAATGTTAATATGCTGCTAAATTTAAATATTGGTCAATGAATATGTAAAACCAAAAACGAAAAACAAAAAAAAAAGAGAGAAACAGAAAGGGAAGAAAAATCCTAGACAAGAAGAAAAATAAAAAAATAAAAATAAAAACAATAAAAAGCCAGGAAGAAGAAAAGAAAAAGGAGGAAAACACAAAGAAAACGGTGAAAATCCAGAAAGAAAGGTCAAGAAATACCCCAAAATCTGTTTCAAAATGAAAACCAAGGAAAAGAAAAGGAGCTCAATAGGGCCAAAGCTAAACCTGTTTCATTGACAAATCTGTTGGGGACATGGCCGCCCTATGATTGGCCAGCCTTTCTCCATATCATCTATAGGCACATTTCTCTTCTCCTAGTTGAAGTCATACAACTCAATAATCAGTTCCAGCCAAAACCAGAAAGGAAACATCCCTGAAACAGGAAATGCCAGCAACTACCTGCCAAGTCTACTTGTTCCATTGATTAACATCATATACTGGATGTTGATTTCCAAATAATGCATCATATGGCCACAACAAACAAAAGTGCAAGTACTGGGGATTACATCATATACAGAAATACAAACAAGCTTGATTACTCAATAATTTGGGTCATCGTATGGCGGAAGAGTTACTAAGCAATTTGACAGCAAATGATCGATTAACTGCACTTCTGTGTCATCACCTATATAGTGACATGAAAAATGTAGTTCAAAAGTTAGTAATTGATAGCAACGAAGAACAAAACACATCCAGAACACCATGAAGAAAAGAACAAAGAAATACCGAAGATATATTCGGGCACATTATACATGAATAAGACATACTCATGCAGCCATCGTTGCACAGAAGCTTCCTGCACGGGATTTGAACAGAAACCATGTTCAGTAATGGGCAACTACATGATGGAGAGAGCGTACTTGATTAACATATGTTGCTGAAATCATTCTATTGATCATAGATCATAGAAATTTTAAAAGCGCCAAATCAGTTTCCAAGCCAGAATTATTTTTGAGCGTGGGAATAAATAAGTAGCATTTGCATAAGATAGCAAGTACTAGTAGTATACATATTTTTTGCCAGAAATCAGTGGGGTTACAGATAAATGTTTGAAAAATGCATAGCTACAACGTACACTTGTTTTTGGCCAGAAGGGGAATGCATGCCCCCACAGGGAATAGTGTAGATCCGCCCTTGGTTCCATTGCACCTGAGAATGCTGATGACAGTTTGATCCCATCATAACAGAGTTCAACCTGAAAAATAACAAAGTTTGAAAAACATAAAGCATGAAATTTAGGTATTCATTTTCCCAAAAACCAATTGCACGAAGACAACATGCTAAAGTAAATGCAATACAAGAAAAAAGTGATCTTTCAGGGGAATTTCCAGCAGGATAATTGGAGACAGAAAAGAAGACCACATTACCATGAAATATTTCCTTGGGACAGACAACATGCTAAAATAAATTGGATAAGTACTAAAGAAGGTACATGATTCTTCGGGCACTTTTTCAGCAGGAGAAATGCAGAGCATGAAAAGAGGATGGATTACCATGAAATATTTCATTAGGACATTAAACGACAATTGTCTGAAGCCTTAATAGTCTTCTTCAAGTCAAGTTCACTAGAGAAAGGAAGATCCTTGCTCAACCATAAAGGAGCTTTATCCGTCTCCATTTCTTTGATCATTATTGTTTTTCACTGAGATGATATAAAACTTTGGCAGCACTTTGAAAAAACTTCTGGGAAAGTACTCCTAAATTTCAAATGAAAACTAATGGCAGTGAGGTGAAATGCACCCGCGTTCAACAAACTGCAGCATAAGCTTATCTGCCTCATCTGTTTTTCCTTCTAACAACAATCTCTTGCTCACTTTCTCACATAACTTGAGATCAGGTATAAGATTCCGCTTGAACATTTGGCAAGCCACTTTATAAGATGACAAAGAATCCCCTTTCTTCAAGTAACTCTCCAGAAGGATGTTGCAAGTACGGGCATCAATATTTGAAGCAGTCCTTAGGATATTCCCCAAGAGCTTATAAGCCTGATCAAGGTTTCCAAAGCTACAAAGTTTTTCAATAACTTGATTATACACTGTTTTGCACTTCTGCCTTTTTAGCATTTTCTCTAATAACTTCAACAATTCATCCACCCTACCATGCTGGCAGAACCTGTGGATGATTGCACGGTATGTTACTGGAGTAGGAAGCAGGCCCCTATGAAGCATTTTCTTTGCAAGTTCAATTGCCTCATCTATCCTACCATTCCTTCCCAGTGCGTCAATTAAAGTAGTGTAAGTTATTGCATCTGGGTGTTTGTTATTCAGGTACATGTCATCAAGGACTGAGAGAGCAGCATCCAAATCATCCTTCTGACAGAATCCATGAATTACAGTAGAAAAATTTACCACATTAACAGCACATCCTTTGTGGAGACAGTCCTCCATGAATTTCTTGGCTTCATTGGTTTTGCCTGCTTGGAAAAGAGACTGAATCAGCATATTAATTTCGACTGGATTTGGCAAAAAGCCCTTTCTTATCATTTCCCCAACCACATCACAGGCCTCCAACAACTTCCCTTCCCTGCGGAACCCATGCATCAGGACACCATATGTAACTGCATTGGGTGTCCACCATTCCTCCTCACTCATGTTCATCATCTCTTTGGCTTCTGATGACTTTCCATTTTTGCAAAGCCCATGTAACAATGCTGTGTATGATACTGTATTCGGCTTAAAACCATGTCTATGCATCTGTTGGAGCAACTTTTTGGCTTGGTCAATCTCTCCTACTTGACAAAATCCATTCACAACAGCAGTGTAAGTCACCACATCAGGGTCGCACCCCTTTGCAAACATTTCATTTAGAAGTTCTTTTGCCTTATCCATCCTCCCATCTTGGGAGAAAGAATTAATAACTGCACTATATCCAAATTTATCAATATGGAATCCTTTTTCTTCTGCTTCCCTGAGAAATTTCAATGCATCATCTGCATGTCCATGCTTGGAAAGCATATAAATAAGGGTCCTATAAGTTACTTGATCTGGAACCAATTTGCTATCCTTCCACATCTTCTCCATCAAACCCTTTACTTCATCAACCCTCTTCTCCTTGCATAGATGTGCCATTACAGTACAGTAACTAACTTTATCAGGGGAACAACCTTGAGACGGCATTTCAGCAATCAGCTGTAATGCTTGTGCAAGACGATGCATATCACAGTAACCCTTAATTAAACAATTATATGTAACAACATTTGGTGTAATCCCAACAACTTGCATTCTTTTCAAAAATATCAAAGCCTTTTCCATTTTCTTCCCCTTCACCAGAACATAAATTGCAGTGTTACAGATAGACAAATCAGGTTCAATCCCTGCTTTCTGCATCACATTCAATATCTGCATTGCTTTCCTCAAATGTCCTGCTCGACTGAATGAAACCATAACATAGCCAAATGCCTCTGTCCGCCTCTCAATCTTCCTCTTCCTCATAAGACTCAGAATCCTCTTAGCCCCCTGACACAACTTGGTCTTACTAAGAACTTCCAGCATTCCATAATAAACAATCGGGTGATGCCGATATCGCCATTGCCTATCAGCCCAGTAGAAGAACTGCAAAGCAGCACGTTCATCAGACTGACACTTTAGTACAGCGCAAACTTGCAGTGGCTTCAAACTTCTCAACAACGTCCTCAACTGCCTCTCTAACCTCGGACCCCATTCTGACCTACGTTCAATTAACCTACATACTTCTTTCACTAGAGGGTGTCTTAATTCATCTTCCACATCATCCATAACTCTCCTCGAAACATCTTCCTTCTGACTTCTATTTCCAGTATACGAATCCAAAATCCGAAAATTATCCACCCCATCACCATCAACATCATTTTCCGCGTCCTCGTCCGAACCCTCAACCTCAAACTCATCAAATCGACAACTTCTTTCTCCATTCTCCTCTGCATTTAAGCTACTCTTCCCGAACCCACAACCCTCTTTCCAGCCCATTTCTTGAACTCTAGAATACCCATTTCTAGTACCATGACTATCACCTTCTCTGACATATTTCCCAGAATCTTTCTCAGGGTTCAAATGTAGATCAAGATTAGTGTTTTCTGATGAATAAAATGCAGCAACTCCACAATTTCCAAAAGGGCTTCTGGAAACAAAATCTCTGCCATTACAACTTGGTCTATTACAAAAAATTACACCATAACTACT